CAACCGTGTCAACTTTATTTATGGAGTTGATGTGGAGGAGGTAGAAAAGCATATCGTGCTAAAATGCAATGATGAAGTGGAAGAAACTATTCAAACGGGCACATTTCTCGTTTATTTAGTGCCAACATAGTAGATGCACTTCAGTCACTGGTTGAGTGTCTTAAACATTTAAAACCAATTCCCATAGTGTACATAGTAACATTGCCTATGAACATGAGTTCACGTGTCCCGAAATCCCCATAAGTAGAACGTCAACGTTTTGGCATGATACTGTACAGCCAATTTTTAAGGTTAAAATGAGTCGCACGAGGTGTCGGAACGAAGGTTCAGGTAAAATGAGGTTGACTGTCTTCACAAAGTCGCATACTAGTGACGACGTGAATGGGATGATCAATGTTAGCATTCACAAATTGGATCAGACTTTGCAAAAACTTAAAATAAACGAGCAGCAATTAGAAAATGGCTCAATACTTATCATTTTCATTGAGGCGTAAACATGAAAGAAGTAAATCAAGATCGAATGAATGTAGATGAAACACCAATACACAATCTGGAAAAGAATGCAAATCACATTCCTAGTCTTGTTTGACTGGCTGAAAAAAAATCTATGGTAGTTCATGCTCAATCTGTGACTTGTGGCATTGGTCTTCCGCCGCTTGGCATGGCCCCAAGTAATGATTCGCAAGTGCTTCTAGAGGTACCTCACAATCCTTAAGCGTGGAAGAGCGGTAGTGGTTGATACATTGGTCAGTATCTACTAGACTCGTTCTCGGTGTAAAAAGCAAGACCACTTCTGACTCTGGGCCAGAGAATTAATTGGATCAATCCTACATGGTAAAGAATGAAAAAAACTACCACCGATAGTTATTTTTACTTCATCCTTAAAAACGCTGAAAATCAACCTCCTCTGGAGTTTTGGCCGCCCGTAGTGCTCGCGAGTAGACGTCCAGATCGCACTGCAGCATGTTGGCCAAAGTGGTGGCAAAGCATTCGCGCAACTCCACGCAGTCGAAGCGTGCACAAGCATGCGCAAATTGCGACAATGAGCGCGTCGTCTGTGTGGTGAAGGAGGCCAGGACGCCTCTGCCGCCTTATAGTAATCCAAGAAAAAGGGGAGGAGGGAACAATTAATAGGGTTTTCAACATGGGTATGCGGGCCTATGAGCTTATGTTGCCGACTATCTGGACTGTGGACAAATAAAAAAAAACCTTGAATTCACAAATTACAAAAGGCGCAGCACCCAAAAATAAACATGCAAATAGGTTCGATCACCCCTAAATTGCAAGCATGAATAGAACGATTCAATGTGGGGAACCTTAGTACAAGAAAAGTGCACATGGAGAACATTGAAGTGACTTTTTGTTAAGAGCTCGAGTGAAACGAAAAAGATCGCGGTTGCGATCGCACCGGTCAGCATAACCGGACCACACACGACGGATCATGTCATTGGTAAACGCCACAAGAGAAAAATCGGAGAGTTACATACCAAGAGAGTTTTGAAAACAAAAGTGGATAAAACTTTCGACTACGAAGAGAGTCGAATTTTCAGCTCTAAAAAGGCCTACTTTTGAGGTTTGATGAAACTACTATGCAAAATTACACAACAGTGACTTTTATCTCTCCACCGTTAAAACTATAGTTGGGCTTCGATGGACCGCATCGCCCAAGAAGTAGCAAAGTTGCTTTTAAAGTTGTTTTTATGGAACAGCCATGTGGAACCGATCAACAGTGCTAACTGTATTGAAAGAATACCCAGCATTTACTCTGCCCACAATCTGGAGGATACGTCGTTAAACCAAAGTTAGTCATTCCAAAGCCAGTGTTTTAAAGGCAAACACACAAGAAGCCTTTGTTTTAAGCATTTCAAAAATAAAGCCTTGTTTTGAAACACACTTTCAATTCATAACTGTTGCCAAAAGGTGACGGCAAAACTACGATTCGACGGCTCAGATCGGGGTGCCAGTTGTTCACTCCAAACGCAACAGTTCGGGCAAAGTTAACTATGAACTTATCTACAACTCACCATTCAGACTTTGTTTGACTTCAGGAAAGCCCGCCTCTGCCATTGTCTTGATGTTGGCATCGCTATTGTCTGTGGGTTGCCAGTTCTCCTTCTGTCAAGGTTGAGCCATTTATTGTAGGGAGGAGGCAATGACGTAAAAACTGGAACTCACGGATGCTCGGTGCTCCACTGCATCCCTGTACACTCGACCTTGCTCCTCAACTGCTCGTTGCCAAGATTTTACCAAACAATTGTCCACCGTCGATTTGACATCGACTCCTATTAATTCGGTTGTCTAGGAGACCGGGAACAACAATACGACAATGTTAGGATAATACTAAAAATTTTACCCCATGGAGGCAGTTGGAGATTCATGCAAGGAGGATGGCAAGTTAAGCGAGATACTAACTTTTTTAGCGTGAGCATGAATCCGTTCACTGGCACAAGCCATTGCATAGAAGGAGATTGATCGACTGTCGATGAGAATGACCTTAAGCTGATTGCAAAACCTCACTGTTTCCTCCAAAACCCAACTGCACAGCTCTGAAATCGTACAAAAGTGGAGTAGTGAATAAATATGGTTAAAACCAAACAAATATACAGAAAACGTAAAATGCGAATTCATGCAAATCACAAATTTGAAGACAACCCGCACCACTGCTGACCGAAGGAAGAAAACCTAGACGCGACAAAATAAACCTAGACTCAACAACCAGCATTCAGTGTTTGATCAGGCGCGTTGGGAGAAGGTCCACTCCCAAGTGAGTGGTCAAAATGAGGAGATAAAAGCTTGCAAGTGAATAAGCGACCAATAAGTAAGCCTTGGACGCTTTTGGCTTCGGACAAGTAAGTTACACTAAACCCGCTTCGTAATCCCATACCTCTCCTACTCGCCACTATGGACCGTTTTCCAAACTATATCTAGTAAAAACTGAAGATATGCATCCATGAGACTACTAGACACTGTTACAACTAACTGAGTCCATTACGCCTTCGCTTTTGGGTCAAAGAGGCCACTTAAAGCGAGTCCCCTTGACCGGTTATTTAGAAATGCGTAAAACTGCCATTGTAAAAATTAAGCAGATATAAAAATGAGGACCAAAAGGGAGCTACTTGAAGTGACCACATCGTCAAAGCCCACAAATTCAGGCTGTTTCTTCAACTGATTAATGAGTTGGTTCCACTCGGCCACGGACTCAACGAGACCGCGATGAAAGACAAAACTGAGGCGGTTGAGGTAGACCAATTGATTGCCCTCCTGTCGCACTCCACGCACCAGACTGCTGCTAATGACACCCGAACGATAGGCGAGGAAGAGATGCAGTGCCAGAACAGTTTTGCCCAGCTCGGAGAGATGGATGACGGCTATGTGCACCGACTGATTAGCATCTAATGGGAGGAGGAAGTGTCCAGTTACCATCAAGGTGCAGGCAGATGTTAAAGAGACAAGTATTTACGGTCTCAGGGCCTCGTAACCGCGAATTAACGGATGTCAAAGTTGGTGTTAGAGTTTTAATGATGAGGAGTTAACAAATGATCGTTCTTATGCAATTCTGGGATACAAGTTAGGAAAGTTTGCTCAACGAGGCAATGGTTATTTTAGAAGTACGGTAAATACCATCAGACCTGACAACATTTACCTAGAACATGGAGAGTCGTGGAAGATAGGAAGCGACCATCTCGGTGGGTAACG